AATCCATCTTCTGTTTAAGACTTTTTTTTATGGTTTCTCAAAGCCTTTATTATTATGTTAGATGGTGATACTCTACTGTATCAGTTCATTAGACTTCCTTCAGTTGTCATTTTAATATTCAGCCAAAGAATTTTTATTTTATTTTTAATCTTCCATCGCAATTTCTTTGTCCATGTTGGATGTTATTATTGGCTCCATTTTAGTTTGCTCACCAACCTTATTCACTTTATTCATATTCTCTTCTTTGGCATACATTTCCAAAACATACCTCCTTTCACACTTACAGCTATTACTCGAGTGCCCATCTAAGCATTGGTCTGATTTTTTTCTTACTTGCTCCAATCTTTTATACCCCACTTAATTGATGATATTTGTCTCATGACACTCTACACCTACGTCAATCCAACCTCTATCCTGGTACTGTATATAAGCACCTCATTCAGATAATGTTATAACTTTTTTTCGACAAAGCGTCACAAACAGGTTTCCCAGTGCTATGATCATTTGGGGATACTTTGAGCGCTCTACACATTACCTACTTGATGTTCGCCTTAAAAAAAGATTATTTCTGGCACTGAGGCAAATCAGATCTCTCTTACCCCCCTCCCCCTCTGATGTATAGCATTGCACAACAATTAGGGGGGGGTCACTCTCAGTTGAGACTGCCAGTGATTTTATTCATAGTGAGATGGAGACATATATTCGGTTCTGTGGTGCTCCTCCAGGGTGTCATGAGGATGCAATTGAGGGCAGTCCTTGACATTCCAGAGAGAATTTAAATTTGCTTTATCCTGCTCCATCTTTTAGTCTGTTTACTTTTCAGTCTCCCTGTGGAACAGTGGTGAGTTTTCAGACTTGCAATGCTTGAATCTGGGGTTTGATTCCCTATGGTGGACACAGCGGATGGCCAAATAGTCTTTAAATTAAATGAAGAACAAAAAGAAAGCCACTTTGGGATTAGCCATCTTTAATTTGTTTTCTTCAGTTGATTCATCAAGAATGTGATGTTTTGGGTCTTTCCCCAGTTGCTTTTGAGGCTGCACTTTACTTGATGGCTGAGAGGTCTGGGAGCAAATATTTAGTTTTCTCTCCATCCATGGAGATTGTGGTCCATGCAGGTAGGTTTACTTTTCAGTTACATGAAGGGTCAGTTATGCCTTATGTGACACGGTTGTTGGAACTTCATGATTTAGGCTACCACTGCCAGGTGGAAGCATATTCCGACTCTCAAATAATATATCTGCTCCTTAAACTTAGGGGTTCTAAGGCAAAACTTGTAGTTAACCTGAATACATCAATGTCCCCTGGTGCAACAGGGTAAATCTATGGGTTTACAATTCTAAAATCCAGCATTTTGTTTTCCTCACACTACACTTTGTTGGAAGACTCTCAGGATCACCAACTTCATTGATGACAAGCTGGAACCATTGTTAGTATGTACATTGGTTCGATTTTCGGCTTCTACATTCATCCTTGTTGTCATTGGCATCTTGATTTTCATCAACTTCTACAGGGAGTCATAGTTCCACACCTGTTTGAGGGTCCTGACCCCCGATATCAGCCCCTCAGTACATTGGTACCCAGAATAGTCTGTCTATATCTAAGGGTTCCACTGTTTGTTCAAATCGCCACCAGTGGCATCAGTGATTATTGTATGCTTTTGGGGTCTGTGTGGGCTTGACTGAAAGAATTTCTGGACATGTGGTAACCTTAACCACAGATCCAGGAGCAGAACAGGTCCTTGAGTTAGGATTAGTCATTCATTTCATATCTTCACCGCTATTATCCACCCAACCTGTAGGATTTCTGTCTCACACAGATCTTCAGGATTTGGAACTTAGTTCTAGGACTATCAGTTTCATTTGTCTAGGGGTAGTGAAAAAAGTTCTGCTAGTTTTTCTGGGGTTTTATTCCTGTCAGTTGTTGGGCCTAAGAAGACACGCAGTTGGTGTTCTGTCAATGATCTTTCTTGTCTATATCAATGCCTAGATTCTACAAAGTCCACAAGTTACACATTCCTCAATCTGAGTTGACATTTTTTACTGGGATTGTGGATGTCCAAGTTTGTTGTAGTCGGCACCTATCTGCACATTGTCATAGTAGTATTGTACCACCACTATCGGTGTTTTTTGTGCACAAAGGTCAGGTACTGCAGTTCAGGGTTTTTACCTTTGGATTAACATTAGCTTCACATGGATTCTGCCAATTTGTACAAGTTTTTCTCATCATCTCCATTCCATAGCACTGTGTACACATCCTGAGTCTACTTTTAGAAACAACCAAGGCAGGCTTTATTCTCAGAGCTGAGACATCTGTTCTCCAATTCAATATGTCATCAGTCTGGATATTTTTTTTTCATCAAGTCTATCAGTTGGGCTTAGCTGACTCCCATCTGGCTTCACATTATGGAACAGGAAGCCTAACTCTTATTCATCTCTCCTTCTTCCACTGCACGGATGATTCTTTCTCTTTTGGGAATGTGGGCATCGCTCAAATCCCTCATGCCATTGGGACAAGAGCACAAGAGATCCTTTTCATGGTCTTTATGCACCCATGGGATCATTAACATTGATTCACTGGATACCCCAGTTTCCTCTGCCAGGATCATTCTTCTATCTCGAGAGATTGTTCCTTTGCTGCCACCTAATCCAGAGTTCCATCTCTTCATTAGTGCCTCAAATCAGGGATGAGGAGCATATACAAATAGTCAGGAAGGTCTACGCATGGATGACAAGGCTCCCTACCCAATGTAGTCCTCCTTGCTCTTCAAAAGGCAATGCCTCATGGCCTGGGCTTGTTAAGGGAAGAATCGTCAGGCTTCACACCGATAATTCTGTGGTGGTGTCTTGTGTTCCTCAATGAGGAGACACTTGGTCCAGGGCTCCTTGTTTTCGAATCTTGGACCTTCTTTCGTAGGACCACTCCTATCATATCACCCTACTAGCTTGTCATGTTCCACAGGTGATGACTGTGGTAGCAGATCAATTGTCTCAACCCAAACAGATTCTCACAACAGAATAGATGCTGGATCGCAAGGTTCTGTTGAATTGGCTTTTATTTTCCAATACTGATTGGTGGGTTGACCTCTCATTGGAACACCTAACCTCTGGCAACTTGGTCTCTAGTACCTCACCTTTGGGCTTTGGCTATGGATGCATTCCATCAGGAAAGGACAAGATTACAACTATGATTTGTTCCAACCTGTTGTCAGGTCCTGTTGATAGCACCAGATTGGAAGATGCATCCTGATTTCTGCTTCTGCGGTACCTTCAGGAGTGTCCATCTCTTCTACTTCTTCCTAGGCCATCTCTGTGGAGGCAGCCAAGGATCTTACATGGTACATCCAGCTATCCAGAAGCTCAAGCTTCAGGCATAGAGGTTATGAAGTCTTTTGCATGGCATCAAGGTTTAATTTCTAAGGTTGCCATGTATCTGTCTCAGTCTTTGCTTAGTCCTGCGATAGACATTTATCAATGGAAATGACACATATATCTACAATGGTGTATTGAAAGGAGGTACCAACCACAACTTGTTTTTTGACTTGGCTCTTTGGAAAGGGTTTTTGCATCTTTCACGATTATCCTGCATAAGGTAGCCTTATCAACTACCATTCAGTACTCGCAACAAAATTTCTTTGAGTCCCCAGTACTCTCCAGCATCCTCAAATCACTTTGGGTCCTTTATCCCAAACAATCATTCCAGTTACCTAACTGGTATATTAAGGTTACAATACATGCCATTTCTCAACACATGTTTGTGACCTGATTCTTATATGCCATGTATTACCTTTACCTGAAGGTTTATTTTTGGATACTGCTGACCTACGGACATCGCTAGTTGGAGTGGTTTGTGTTGTTTGTCCACTTTTACTTTCATCTTCAGACCAGTTCTTCTTACTGAAGACACTGTCAGACAGGGAAGGGGATAAAAGCTTTTCATCTATTCATCAGATTACAATTTCTCACTTCTTTGACCAATCAGATTTTGATTGTTGTCGTGTTCAGTGAGGGTCTTGATGGTTTTGTTGCTTGCATTAATGCCTTTAGAGATGCTAGACAACGACTTTTTATTCTGGGCTCTCATTGAAGGCAAGGAACCTTCTGTGAGTCAAGTCTAATAAGATTTATCATATTTCTATGTCCTTAGCAGCCTGGTTGAATTGTCCACTGGAGGACATTGTGTAGACTAGTATGTGGACCTCTCCCAATACTTTTATCTCACATTATTTACATGATCTGGCAGTATCTTTATCTGAGGGTTTTTGCCTAACCCCTGTAACTATCTTAACCACTTTCTCTAGATTATACAGATTATTTTCATTGCTACCTATCAGAATCCCTTACCTCATTTTCACAGGATCCCACTGTTTGGCAAGTGTTGCTCAGGCAGGTGTGATTTTATCAAACCAATTCTGCACTAACAATCACTAATCCAATATACTTTATCTAGGTTGCAACAGGCTCTGTAGAAATGAGATGTTCCTTAAGACCACCTATAGGCTGATCAAGTGGTATTATTGTACTATGCTGGACTGCCACTCATGGACTATCATGAATAAAGCATAAGGGGATCCTGCCGATCATTGAATTGAATAAATCGGGGTTGGTTTGCTTTTAACAATTTAGGGAACTTGGTTCACCTATCTCAATGTTTCCAGAGCACTGTTACTTGGGGCTGCCAAACGTGCATCATGTAAAATTCCACTTGCAATACATGAATTAAATTCCGAGTGAAGAGCATACCTGTTCTCAATCTAGTGCAGTTCCCTCACTAGGGTGCCAATCTGTTATTGACACACCCATGATCTATGCATGAAAGTTTTTGAAACTTGAGAAGAACTTTCTAAAAATTGTATAGCTTTTGTAAAATGAAATACAGTGTGGTCCAGAATTATCTTTCCCATTTTAAAATTTGATAATTAATGAATTAAGGAAATACAACCATGCAGTTTTCAACATTTGTAGCCTAACTCAATCAGACTGAGTATGATCATTGATGAAGGAAGTAGCTTTAAGGGTAATGTGGGACCTGGAATGTTGTTCATATTAATATGAGGTGCAATTAACTAGAAAGGTGAAAGTAACTAGAACAAACATGCAGCCTGTTGGTGGAATTACACTATTTGAAGTAATTAGGTAATTATTATTCTTTTTTATTTTAACACTGTTTATTTTATTATTTTTGTAACTGAATATTGAAACTGAAGTTAATAAATTCTTTTTTTTTCTGGAAAGTTTTATATATATTTAGATTCCTCCTAATCAATAAACATTTCTGTTATATGTCTTGCAGATAAAAATGTTGAACTTCAGAACAAGCTTAGAAGAGATACTGCACAAATAAGGAATTTAAGAACTAGACACAAGAACATGTTGGTATGTTTCAGAAATATTCTGTCAGTTTGTCTTTTTAACGTACTTGAGAATTTCATTAAATTATGTGTTTAATACATGCATTTGAATAAAGTAAAAAGTAGATATTTAGATAGTTTTGTTTTCCAGCAGATTTTTTAGCTTGAAATAGTACTTGCATTACAGGGTTTACTTTGGCATTTTTTATTATTGCTACCCTAAAAAAATTCATTAATGACAATTCAACACTTTTATATAGATTTGTTTATATAAGTTGAAGATACTTGGCACAAAAATATTATTTTTAAACTGTATGTAGTTAGTATTTAATTTATTGCTTAAAATCTGGTTGATTATGTAATCAAACTTGTATATAGTATTTTGTGGGAAATCTTTTTTTTTCCACTTAACACTAACCTTTTAGGGATTCGATTTTGGTTCTGTTTTAATGAAATTTTATCATGAAAAATAATGACTGAAGATGTATGTTGCAAATATACAATGTTTAGCTAAATTAGGTTGCCATAGTTTTGATCTGAGAGTTTTGAGAGCATTTATTGTATTTAATGTGGATAACAGTCTTATTAAATTAATATGTCAGATTAAGCTTATTATTATTTTAGTGTTTAATTTGGATAGAAACTTTAATGATTCTGTAATTTTTGCTTTTGACAATTTCAATATTTAACTTGGGTAAAATGTTAGACTAATCTGTCATATAGCCATAAGTAATAATGAAAACTGCATACCCTTTATAATCAATTTGTGATTATCATACTTTTCGCAACTTATTGCCAATTTTAACTTTTTTATTTGAAAAAATATCTATGGATGGATTTCTGAGAAAGGGGCCTGAAAAAGACATCAAGGAGCATTTTGGAGTGAAAGTTGTGAACCTGACTTTTTTAGTGTAATTGAGGTGTGCTGAAACCGAAAATTGAGGTTCCCAAGCTTAAATTTGAGTTCTTGAGCATCAAATTTGCAGAAAACAAAATGACCACCTAGTTAAAAATTTTAGCATTTATCTGTGTTTATTTCCAGCATAGAAAATGGTTAAGCATTCAAACCTGTTAAATTTGAATAAATTAGTGAAGAAATGTTGACTAAATAACTTTGGACATAATAGAATTATAATGAATCCAAAAATTTTGGCACATAGGTCACATTATAAGTTACTGACTTTTAATATTATGCATGCAACAAAAAATAGTCACTAAAATGTTTACTTTGACAATAGCTCTGTTTATGTGAAATACTGTTTGATATTCTTTCAGAAGTGCATAGTTAAGGTAATTCCTAAATGCAAGTTCTGAATATTGCTTTTCAAAGGCCTAACATACCAAATTCATATCCTTATGGTGGTGTCGTTTCATAATCTGTAAGCCAAAAATACTTCAACACTTAATTTTCATGGCCCCACAAAATAAGTGTAGCATAGAAATAATTAAAACTTATGAATCACCATAAATATTAGTGTATGTTTGTGTATACATATAGGTGGGTTGGAGGTGTTAATGTGTGTTGCTCTGAGTGGTTTCGATTTGGTGGATGGGTGTGTGTCTGTATGCATGCTTGCAATCATGTATACATTTTTTTTTTCTTCCAGATTTTTGTGGTTTCAGCACAAAATATGTTGCGTGTTTTCATCTGATTCACATCCTGAGTCATTAAAAAAATATCTAGCAACACAGGCAATTCAAAACTCGTTACTTTGTGCCAAAGATCTTGGACAACAGCATGTAAATAAATATGTTGAGGAGAGATTAATGGTACCTGTGCAGGATGACAGGCCTAAAGTTTCAATCCATGCTTCCATTCAGAGTAATAATTCTCTCACATATGCAACACTGTATGCTATTGTTAAAGACAATAAAGATGAGACAAGAAAACTATCCTGAAGATGGACAGAAATGTCCTCCAACATCTCATTACTGCATGTGAGAAAGGTCAAACAGTTGATTTGCCCTCTATACTGAAGCATTAACTTCCGCCAGTGCATGTATCTCTTGTAGAAATGAATGGTTCACTCCGCACTGGGAACAAGTCAGTACTGACAGATATAATAACAGAAGGCATTGTCTGTCTTGAAGTTGTCAGATTTCATGATCATTCATCTTGCCTCATTGCTGATGGATAAGAACTGGTGATTGTTATAGGAAAGCCTGCCAATGCAATAACTTTTGGAGATCTGGCAGACACATTTGTGAGAACAGTACTGCATGCTGGCTCAAATTATTAATTGGTAGACATTATCTTTAATAGATATAGAGAAGCGACCATCAAGGCCTCTACCAGGACATGATACACCAAAGCAGCTCAACCAATCATACATCTAGTTGAAAGTCTTAATGTGCCTTTGCCAAAAACTGGATAAAATTTCTGTCTTTGCCAAAAACTGGATAAAATTTCTGTCTTTGCCAAATAATAAAACAGCCCTTGCACATTTCTTGTCTGAAGAACTGCTTCCTCTAGCACCTAACAATAAAGAGATTGTTGTTGCTGGAGGATTCAGAAAGAAATTTGAAATTAGATCATCAAAGAGAACAACTAATGTCACTCCTCTGAGATCCACACATGAAGAAGGTAACACCAGGCTGGTGCTGCATGTTGTCAAGAGTCAATTTAATACTGTTGTTGTCATCTAGGGACACCATTGTTCTCCTGCTACACAAATCACATCAAGCAAACATCGTAGAAAATCTTCAAAGAGCACCATGAATTGCTGAAGGATGTGGGAGTTTGTGAGTTCACAGAGAAATCATCAAATCTGCCCAGAAGTTTGTCTGCAGGATATATAAGGTACCCCAAGCAGACTCAGTTGATGCAGCAAAACATATATTGTTCTCCAAGACTGGTAACCCAAAAGCCATGTCACCGACAAATGATACTCTTCACTTCCATCTGATGCAGGTGCACTATCAATCCATGATATGGAGAAATGCTGCCTGTGCCAATACTAAAGCTCTCTGCACTGGTGAACATGGGATGGAAACATAGTAATTCAGGTCTACAACCCATTCTGTTGTCATTGAGTCCCATCCTAAACAGATGCCTGGAAATGATTTCTTGTTCATGCCAAAAACAGTGCATGAGTTCCCATTGCAAATGCCACATTTCAAGGTTAAGATGTACAGCGATGTGTGCTTGTAAGCAGCAGAGTGATGAGCAAAATACTTGTGTGAATATAGTTTAGTTGTTTCAGGCAAGCAATTTGACATTCCCAGAGACTCTTTGTACTCATGAGTTTTGTTGATAGAAGTCCTTATGGGGAGTTTGTGGAAATGATGATTCTAAAAGTGTAGTTAGTCAAAATCAGAGTGAGGTGCGTTATAACATATAATGCTGTTACATGCAAGTTTTCATATTGTTGAAAATTGACTTACTGATAGATATTATTGAAACATGTAATATTATTGTCATTGTAACCATATAAGCCATTCTTTCTGAAATCATAATTCGTCAACATTATATATATGCATGACTTATAATAATGTCAAAATAGAGGTGATTTTTGTAGTTTTTCTTTGAATTTTATATCTTGAGAGGGCATTAGTATTATTGGAAATCATCAGTTTACTTTGTTAAGTGATAATCACAGATAGTTTTTTTAAGTATATGAACAAGGGTATCTCTCGCATCACATCCAGTTTAATGGATGTAGACTGTGTTGTAGTATTGTAATATGTAGTTCATAGACCATGTTGAGTTGTTAAATATAGCAGTTGAACATAAACATGCAGCACATCAGAATCATGATATAAAATAATGTTGACATGTATATATATATATATAATACTCCCTAAATATCTTCAACAGTGGTATATATATATATATATAAATTTTTAGTGGCGTAAAGCACGACAATGTGTCTGAAATTGGCAATTTAATAGCTGTTTTGTTTTTCTTGAGTTACAGGGTCAAAAACTCGAAATTCAGCTTGGAACCATCATTTTTGGTCTTAGCATACTCAAATTACACTAAAAAGTCAGGTTCCTAACTTTTACTCCAAAATGCCCCTAACAGTCACATATCTCAAAATTCCATCCTGCCTATAAGAGATCAATACATTTGGAATTTTATATTTTATTTCATGGTTGTGTTGTAAACGATTGTGACTGTGGATAATAAACAGTATGAAAGTTGAAGAGCTATCGTTAATAACAGGACTGGAACTGTCATTAGCTTATTCTAGTGTAAGACAGTTGACTCTGTAGGTGTTATGTGTGATGAGATAGATCATAGTGAATTATTGCTTGTATTACTTTTACAGAAAGTAAAAAAAATATGCTTGTTCACTGACATTACAAAGAAAAAACAAATTTTAACAAATTTGAAGCAAGTAGTGATTGCTTATACTTGTATACACAATTTAGGAATTACTGTAAAAAAATTTCTGCTTAATTATAAATATAGTCATACAAATTTGCTTCAAATCAGTATATGGAGACTTGTATGTTAAAGTTCTACTAAATAGTTTTAACAGTAATGTATTTTAACAGCCTGGCAAACACTGACTGTAGGGTTCCTTTTGAACTCTAATAGATCATTAGGTAGTATAAAGTTGTACAAGCAAACTTCTTGCTGGTCAGTATTGGTTGTTTCATTTTTTACTGAAACTTCCTCCAAAAGTAGGTTAGCTATGGTTTATTTTACAATGAAAGCTCGCTCATTTACCTTGAACATGCATTTTCATTTACCACAAATGAATTGTTTCACTTGTACATAAAAACAAATCTCATGAAGCTGCTACAGAATCAATCAAGAAAATGAACAATTACATAGTAATACTTCCAATCCATTTGATTTGATATGAATACAATATTAATACCAAAATAAACCACAATACTGCTCTATTGATGATTTTCTTTATTTAGTGAGGTGTTTCCCTACATTGTGAAATTACAGGGAAACAAGAAGTGTGTTGCATCTACTTAATTAAAAGAATAGTTTGTGCTTGTGTAAAAAGCTGTCTAAACTTGATTAAACTATTCAAAAATGAAATTAGGAGTAGGAAAGTGTAGATGACATCATCATATGAGCATCAGAAGTTTTTAAACTTTTTAACACTTTTGCTATGGGCATCTTTTTCTGTGCATGTCATGAGGCTTTAGTGAGTTACATTCAAAATTTAGTTAAACTACTTTATCATGGTATACGAATAAACTTGGCATAGCTAATAACCCAAGTTTGACGTTATATGCATTTTAAGTTCTTAATTTTATAAGGAAGTATTTTAAAAAAATCCTCAAGTTCCCCTAGTGTGAGAATTGAGACATTTGTTCTTTAGGTATCCCTTCTTTTCTAATTTATTTATTACCCCTCCAAGAAGTACAAAATTTAATGTAAATTACTTGTTATAATGTTGTCATCTTTCATGCAAAGCATGATTTTATAACCTTCAATTGTATTTTGTTACAGAGCTACAAAATAGAAAATCAGACCCCTCTTGTCACATCCTCTCTTTCAGAAATTGCCAATAGTTTTCTCTGATGTTTAATACTATATTATTTATAACCAACAGAAAGCCAAAGTTTAAATTTATCAAATGACATATTATATTACATTATTTTCTGTACAGAGAATTGTCTATTTCACTTCCAATGCAAACTTTATTCCCACGGGAAACACATTGACAAGCTTAGCTAAATGTTTAACGACTCTTGTCACTTAGCTAAAAGCCAGAAGAACTGTGATAGTTATGGTACATTGTCTGCTTTTTGAATGTTTCTATTCTGTGTTCTTTGGTGTATTATTAATGAAAATCACTTTGCACTTAGAGCAGTCAACATTTTGACTCCATACATTCATGGAGAAATTTTGAGTGAAAATACTTCATTAAAAATTAATATTTTTTGTCTGCAAATTATTCTAATAAATACTGAAAGCTTGTGAAATTTTGTGAAAGTACACAAAATGTATTAGAAGTTATAGTATGGAAACTATAAAGGTTAATTTGAGGTCACGATCTTGATTGATTCAGTCAAGCCCATAACGAAAGAGATAAACTATGCAACAATGAAATTAGGAATAGGGAAGTATGAACAGTGTCACCATATATTTAAGGGTGGGGTGGATATAGATAGTATTATGCATTGTAGAGAGAAAGGTATTTGGAGAATGGATCTGTTATCCCTCATATTCCTATCTCAGACAGTGTTTGTGTTAAGGTTTTGTGTGTGAATTTCTTCATTTGTTTGTGGAAACTTAGCGTACCTATACCATCACCCTGTTGAGCTTTGATACGTGCTCCTGATATCCAGGCATCACTAGATCTAACATCTCATGCTAGATAAGTTGTTTGGTTTGTCATTTTTTATCACACTATTCAGCTCTAGGTGTCTTTTGTACTAGAGGTAGATGGTGGGTATCATATGTTTTGGAATAGGTTTAACTCACTTAGGTGTAACCGCACAGTCATTGAGATGCATCACATGGCCATCATGTTGGTTCAGAACTCTGTGTATCTAACCTTGTATATGAGTAGTCTAGGCAGGTTACTTAACTGTTTTAGTTACTATAAATACACAGCATAGCCTTTACATTTTATAAG